GGTGCTAGAGATCATATACAAAAACAGTTAACGCTGCCACCAATCAAACAACGCGTATTCAATGCGACCTCCACTCAATACTTACTTAATATTTCATATAACGCGTCAACTTTCTTTTGAGAGAACCAGTAGTGGAATAGAATACATCTATGTATTTATTTGCATTAGCTAAAATATTAAAATTACTTGAAATTTTAATGAACATACTGCCAAGCACACAATTTGTCAAAAGTTACGTGAATACAACTTTTATGCCCTCAGACAATCTAGGAACATAAAATCTAAAGAAGGAATTATTAGGTAATAACAATAACTTTCAAATTACTGTATAAGACATTATTCACCTAAGTATTTAAAGTTTGCAGATCGAACAATTTGTGAAAAAAAAAATCACTCACAAATGTATGTTGTACCTCTGTACGATTGGCTAATAGTAATTCAAATAATTGATGAACAGTATAATAATTAAAAGACTTCCCAATTTTTAATATAAACAGTGTTTTATGATGAATCCTTCTAAAATACTTCTCATTGAAAAAAATCTCATGTTCCTCATTCTTTTTTTTTATAAATGATGAGCACTTAAAAGAAATAATAATAATTGGCATGTAGAATAGCTATCGGTCTATAGTAGATTTGTCGTTATGGTAACCAGCCAGTTTAATGTCTAGAGTTACATTTATACGCAATTGTTTACTGTGTCGGAAATGTAAATCGGACCTTGATAGTGTTAGCCAAAGCAAGAAATCGACAACATCAGTTAGAAATTCTAGAGATTGAGCTATTAGATTTCCGATGGAGGTTGCTGGGGAAAGTGGGTATTAGAAAGGTCATGTCAATTCCAAGTGGTCTTGCATTGAAGTTACATCCTCCAATGACAACAATACTTGTTTTATATTTATAAATTATGCACTGAGAATTTAACGGACTCAGAATCTTTCAATTTTTTTTTTTTTTTTTTTTTTTTTTTTTTTTGGGGGGCCGAAACACTCCCTCAAAGTTTGAGTAAATATAAATCCCCTGTTTTGGACCGGCACCCTCTTGCTATTTATCCACTTCACCAAAACCACATTTTCCCGCAGTGTTTCTAGCTGTAATACTGCCGAACAGTGGAAATATTTTGTATTTTGAATGTTTCGGGGTGGGGTAGTTATCAACAAACACACTACTATCATAATAAGTAAAATGCTTAAGAAACCACCCACCCGTTTCTAAGATTCACAATGCGTTGGGTGTTATTTCTAAAAATCACAACAAAATGCATATTTCAGTCGTTCACACAACTATTATCTCTTCCTAATATGAAGAAAAATGTCCGTCTGCTCAAAGAAAACTGTCAAACACACGAAAACCGCCTTTACCTGGATACTTTTCACAGTGTGATTTCGCAGGAGAGTGTCCAGACTATCCATACAAGATGACCAGTCGGCTAGCGAGCCATCGATTCCTTCTTGTCGAACACAGCCAGAACGTAGAAAGTCTCACACCATAGAATTGATACGTAACGATTCACTACCAACAATGTTGGGACAACGCGATACATTCTTGGCACAACAGGATAGCAAAAATAAAAAAATCGCCGGTGTTAAAAGAAAAGAGTTCGCGAGAAGAAAAGGCATGTCGGAAAACGTGCTGAACTCGGCCTCTTACAGCACGAACATGCGCAAACGTGAGCTTGGCGTCGCCTTCACTACTTCCCGCCATACCGTGGATATAGTAGAAGAGGATAACGAATTTGTAAGAAGTGATGTACAAACAGTATCACCATGACATCGACTAATCGAGTTATCCGTGTCTATTGTGAGAAGCCATCATGACAGACCTCCGACAATTTGACTAGCATGAGACGGGGTAGAAACAAACACCACAAACGCTCAATGACGTCTCGAAAATAGATGACATAATAAACAAATATGATGTATTTTTTATTTTTGCCAGCTGTTTCTATCGTTTAGTATTCAGTTGTCCAATTTGGCGATCACTATTCGAGACAATGCTTTATTTATTCATTAGAAATTTGTAATGCAATATATGTCTTGCCTTTCTCTCGAATTGGCATAATAATTTGTACTTGCCTCTCGCTGTAGTCAATATGTTATCTCAATATTCACTGTTAAGCATTGACACGAGTCTGCGTGTTTTTGTTTTGTTTTTGTTTTGTTTTGTAACGTAAATTTATTTTGTTTCTTGTAATTAATATCAGAATCAAAAGGAAATGTTATGCAAATATTCAATAACGTTGAAAGTGAACTTATTCCCAGGTCGTTTTTACGAAAGATTACTAGTACCGTCAAAGCAAAGACAGTGTTTAATGGGCGTTGGTTGTCGCGCCACACGCGTGCGATAGTTGCATTGATATATATATATACATGAATTTTTGGCAAGCACAAATAAAAGTTTTAGATCTTTAAGATCTTGACGCAAAGTGCACTAACAACCGACTGTTAAAACTTCATTCATTAATAAATTACGTCGCTAAACAGCTGTAATCGTTGAACCCATATCTCGCATATGCGCAGCGCGACGACTAAAATAATTTCTTTTCGAAGAACATATACGTATGGAAATAGCGATTTTGGTGTAAATTATTTCGTTAGAAATTTATATTTTGCAGTTTGTATTGCACCCAGTATATATTGGAGTCCCAACGGGGATATATTATTCATGTTCTTCCCCTCGTGTTTATACACCAATCATTCGTACCCACTTAACTTTAATGAATGACGCCCTAAATTATGGAAACAATTGTCACAAAAGTAATTAATAAATAAACGCTGCTTAGACTGATAAATATGATATTTAGTAGATAATAGTTGGTAATTGTAGTCCTAAGTAACTATTAAAATAGCTAGATGTTTCGAGCGATGGCTCTTTGTATTTATTTATTTATTTATTTATTTGAAATATTCAGATGCGATTTAAGCAGTTGGTTCTGATAAGTTTGGTGGGAACTACATACAATTACATAACTAATTATAGCTACTTTATCCGTGAATATAAAGATCACACTAAACAATTGTAACAGCAAGGACCTTAGATCAACTCACCATTAAAGAGAAAACGAGTTGCAACTGAAAAGAGCCAAACAAGTTGGCTATACAACAATAAAGTTAGTGCGCTGACCATTACGAAACTTAAAATATTACCCGAATCACCATAGCAGGCCTTTCATCGTGCTATTTGTGAAAAGATTGCTTCTACTATGCGTTGCTGCTTGTGAAAAATAGAAAAATGCAGTTCAATACCTCTTTCAGTTCTTGCGTTTCATCATCATTAGGGTAATTTCGCCGTGGCATGTCACAAAAACATAGCACTGCAGCTGAAGCACATTACGTTTTGGTTTTGCTGCAGTTCATTTTTTGTGTTATATCACCGTGGCGTAAATACCACACATGGAAATTAGTTGGCACTGGTAAAAAGTCATAAAAGGCAGATCGAAAACACATTTTTACCTATCTTAAATAAAAGTATGCTCCGAAACTGGGCAATTACCTGTGGAAATGACGGAGACACCGGCAATTTGGATGATATGTTTGCCACATTCCGATTTATTTGGTGTCACGATACGCCTGTTAGGGGGTGTTGCTGAGCAATTATAAGTGGGGTCTAGCTACACGCACCATAAACCTGGAAAACTGCAAATTGGTTGAATTGTTTCGCCAGCAACGTTACTGAATGGCTAAGTATATGATTGTACAGATTAAGAAAACTAGTTATCCATTCAATGCATCCTCTGAATGTCTATCTAAAAGATATGATAGTTAGTGTCCCAAAAGTGCATCACTACTTGATGTAGGTGGATGACATCACTGTCATGTCTAACTTGAGTAAGTTCGGCACATGTTTTCCAATTGGGTATCAGTATAACCCCTTGCACAGGTCCATTACCAAAATGGGACCAGTGCGGCTCAAGACCATTGATATGTGATGTTATTAGGGAGATACAAGGGTCTAACTCAAGTTTTATCATTAGACCTTGCACCTCGGCAAAGACCGTTCAGTTTTAGTCAAATGAAAAACAACCGTTTCGTATCAGATGAGCTCTTTGTTTATTTAGTTTCAACTCCGTGAACTATAATGGATTAAGTTATTAGTAGTTTAACACACTCCACAACTTGCTTGACAGTTCTGTAGCATGTACGCTGGGTTCCTAGCACATTCTCCTATACTCTGCCAATACCCACAGTTAAAGTCATAGTCGTAACATGCCGTACCTGTGAACGCAAGTAACACGGTAGTTTAGATATGCAGTGACATGCGATTATGACAAATCGATTTAATTTTGTAAGAGGCTTTCTAATGAAATATTATGTATACAAGTGTAGAATACCAACAAATCTTACCTTCACTGTTTGGACTATTCCCATTACACTGCTGCCCGCAGCTTTTTTTGCAGTTCTTCTTCATATATGCCGAATGGGTTCCAGTACAGTAGCCCTGATTGGCCCACCATTCACAATTCACATTTGCATCTGTGCATACTATGAAGAGATAACGATACATTATTTGAGTTGTAGGACTTTTGCAAATATTATGGTGGATGAAAACTGATAAAAAGCATTTTATAATTTAGAATAAAGAAGCTGGATAGCGGGGTTTTATTTATTAATGTTATTGTTTAGGACAAATACTACATCTTCATCTGAATGTACGTCCTATATACAAAATATGTTCAAGTTGTTCCGGAATATACATCTCCGGAGATGTCTCTGACCCTATCTGGCCTATCTGATATTTCGTTGTGTTATTATACAAACTATTCATGTCGTGTCTTTTTTCATGAATTATTTGGTATGTAAGAATGTCTTACTCGATCCACCACCGCCACCGCTACACTCCTTACAGCTCTTTTGGCAGTTAGTCAGCATATACTCAGGGTTGGCAGTGCACTCTCCACGTCGAGCCCAACCGTCGCATCTGTTGTCGTTGTCTACACAATCTGGTGGAATAATGTATCGCTAAATAATTACTGACCAGCATTTTTTATTTAGCTCAATTAAATCAGGTTTGGGAGCCGAACTCGGCCCGTGCCGGCGCGTTTAAATAGTACCTTTGGGCTCTGATGACAAAATGCTGTGGTAAATGTAAACTAGGTCAATAAGTCCTTTGTCAAACAAATTTTAGCGATTTGATGATGTCGGCGTAATAGAACAATTATAGCTCGAGCTGTACAATATATTAGTAATTGTGCGTGTCCCAGATTTAGGATGCAATAAATAATTTTCACATGGCGATATGAACTATAATGAACATCGCAGGGTACGCATTTTGTGCTATCGTTTCCCTGATTTCGATGCAAAGTCTCAAATGACCCAATAACATTCAAGATAATTTCTTTCTCGAGAAGACAAAGAATGTTACATTAACGAAATTATAAAAAAAGAATACCGCCATTAAATACAAATTAAATAGAAAGTGTCAAAACATGTTTAGTACTAAACGTTATGATATTACTCTTAAACGCAAATGGCCGAAAGATGAACGAGAAAGCCGCGAATTTCTGTTTTGCCTCATTCGTTGTTTCATCAACGCAACCCTGCTCCCCTGTTCAATGTAATCGTGGTATTTGTAACGGTTGATCGCGATGATGGGAACTAATAGAAAAACATTTGAGCCCAAAGTGGTTATTAACTTCTAAAAAAGATTTCGGTGGCCTTATGGTGAACAATCTGATTAAAATAAGATCCTGGTTGGCTTATTTTTTTTTAAATTTAATGTTAATTTTATTATTTAATGCGCTACGAATAGAGTTTGTCTATCGCCTGGTATTCACATGAAATACATCACTATACCCAAGAAAGTATACTAGTAAATCCATGAACACACTCATTGTTTGAGGCCACAACTTCGTCAGAACGCTTCAATAGTAACTCCAACCCATCTGAACATGCGTGAGAATGTATCTCGTGTTCACGAGGAGTCAATGCAGTCTCTCTACTTACCTTTGTCGTCGCAGATACCGCAGCTATCTTTGCAGTTCTCTGACATCCATTCCCCGTATGTGCCCCGGCAGTACCCTTGTTGAGCCCAACCGGAACATCCATTGTCTTTATCATTGCAGTCTGCGGGAATAGTAAAAATATTAATATAGGGCGAATGTAAATTCCGATGGGACGTGCATTTACCGTATTTATTCACTCGAATCGACGAAATTACACCAATATAAAGCTCCCTACATACATTACTCACTGCAGATAAAACTACGATAGAAATGAGTGACTACTATAGATGTTGTTGCAAAAGATGATATGACAACACATGTTCGTATACGCAAAGTTACAATATAATCCAACGTTCTTCTAAAGACAATTTACTTTCTAGTTTTCTGTGAATCAGAACTAGTACCCACCTCCACCCACTTCGCCTCCGCCGCCACCGCCATCACTACCATCACCTATAATAGAAACACATCGACGATTATTATAAATGAATATTAATATTATCATTGTTAGGTTCATCATCTGCGATTTCCACTTAAATTATTATTCAAATTATATAATTGCGCTGTGCTCGAGCTTTCTACGGATCGTGAGAGAATACGCTCCAATTTTGCGTTTGTGATTACAAGTTATATGACATTGAACTGTACCGACGATCGGCGTAACCGAACAAGTTATCAACCAAGCATCACCTGTAATGCCTATTGGTGAACGTCGCTAACCCTTTGTAACATTTTCTGACATGTATTTTCTATACACGTAAGCATTGACTATCAATCATGGCGACAAATGCTAATGGTGATGACGTCAAGCCGATCTTCATGATCTTGAACGAGATCCATGACGGTAGGAAGGACGATTATATAACACAAAAAGAAGTGTACCGAGCCGCAGCCGAAATAGTACCTGCTAAGAACCTACGATGCATCCAATTTGCAAGAGGTATTTGTAGAATATACTTGAAAGGTTTAGCGGAAAGAATCAAACTTGTAAGTAGTGGCTTTACAATCAGGGGTCAGCATGTTCAATTACGGGAAAACAACCCCTTTGTTCAGCGTTACAATGGCATCCGACTTACTGTGAAAGGATTACCATTCTCAGCTGACAATTCACTAATTGCGAGTGGTCTTTTAAAATACGGGTGTGAAATAGTCGGCATAGACAACGAGCGTCTACGTGTCAATGGTAAACTGACGGATTGCATGAAAGGCAATCGCTTTGTATATGTCAAGTCGGTAGGGAGACTCATTCCAACATATGGTGTACGTATGGGAAAATTTACCACCACATATTTTATCGTGGTCAGAAGGAGAAATTAAATTTATTTAATCGAGCAACAAATGAAGCGATGCACGATAGAGCACTTGCAGATACTAGCAATAACGTGGACATCACACCAACCAGCCCAAACCTACTACTGGATGACGGTAAAAACAAGTGCGATACCGAGTGCCAGTCAAAAAATATGCAAGATGAGATCGCCCGATAAGAAACTTTTATTGATGAAAAATACAAAGAATCCCAAACACCGTTGAAAGAAAACTTCAACTCGCAACAAAATGCCGGTGATATTGATGACTCCAATAAAGAAAGCGATTCTACCCAAATCGATGGTGCTTCAAAAAAAAAAAGATAAAAAGAAAGAGAAAACGCGGCAAAGTAGCAGTGGAAGATGCAGCTAACATGCGGGTAAACAACGTGGAACATAACTCACAACCAGCAGAGCATAGTGAAATGCGTAGGTGTCGCTCTCTAGAGGACGTTGGTCAACGTACAATCACCGCCGTACTGCAGGTTATTAGACATCAAACTCCCGTCGACACGACAAAGAAGAGAATGGTAACTCCACCAAGTCAACTGGACAGTAAGCGTCGGGATACTTGGGATGAACAGATAAGTGATACAGGCAGCTAGTTTTTCTTTTTATCTTTAAGAATAAAATTTCTGCGGTAATTTCTCACATTACTAATTAAATGAACGACAATTTAAAGATTATAACTCTTAATGTCAATGGACTTAGAGTTATTAACAAAATGCATGTTATCTTTAATTAGTTGGAAAAACAAAAAGCTGACGCCGTTCTGTTACAGGAAACGCATGCGAACAAAGCAATTGAATTGAAATTTAAGAATTTATGGGGTGGAAAGGCTTTTCATGCTTTTGGCATGGGGAAGGATAAAACTCCAGGCTGTGACGGGCTACCAGCCGAATTTTATTTTGAA